CATGTCCTCATCGTCGGATCGTCGTGAACTCCGAGGTTCTGGAAGGGTGATCTCGCCATCGTCCCATCTCTTCCTCAAGAGGGCTGGGAGGGTGCGGCAATCATCGGTATGATGACTGTGCGCCCTATGGTATTTGCACCATGGCTTCTTGCTGTCGGGGTCTCTGTCGCTTGAGCGGTCCCACACGTTCCATGGCTTTTTTGGTCGTCCAACTGCGTTGATGCTCTTGTGATTCTTGTCATCCTTGTCGTAGTGCTGACGGGGATCTTTGTAATCTTCCTGACTCGACGATCTGCCTTTTTTGTCGCGCGAAGATTTCTCATCGGCCAACTTGGCCTTGGCCTTGGCTGCCCGGTCCTCCTCGACTCTGATGTACCCGGATGCCTTGTGCAAAGCATCTTCGAGGGTTTTGGTTTTTTCTGTCTTCAATCGTTCACAAAACGATGAATCATCCTTCAAATTCTTGATAAGAATATTGAAACACAGTTCGTCCGACAGACTGCACTGGGAGACGATTGATCGGAATCGATCGATAAAATCGCAGAGTGGTTCCGTGTCGCCCTGGACGCATGCCCATAGATCGAGCACTGTGGACTCCGTGTCGATGTAAATCGAATAATGCTTCAGGAACCGAGCTGTGAGCTCCTTGAAGCTGTCGATGGAGTTCTTGGAAAGCTGTGAGAACCAAGTGAGGGCGCTCCCGGAGAGCGTCTCCACAAAGTATTGACAGAGGCATGCTTCCTGTTCCTCATCGGTGAAGCGAGCACGTCCCATGACTGCGTTGAACGCGGTCAGGTGTCGCTCCGGGTCTGTCGTGCCGGAGTAACTCGGAGGTAGCTTCATCCGACCTATGTCCTTAAGAGGAGCATTGGTGATAGCCAACGTGAACGGAGTTTCTGTGTCTCCTGAAGGATCTTATCCAACTCGGGCGCTGAAGTCGTCGCCTTGTGGATCTTGCTGTGGATATCATCAAGGCGTTGGTGGAGCAGATCGAGTTCCGAGGTTGTCGTCGGGTCGGTTCCTGCGATATTGCGAGATGAGCGGGCATGCGAGCCGTCTGCATGTGCTCTCCGTAAGTCATCTGTCGGTGTCGTGTCAAACAAGTTGTTGACCAGCCTGGTGGTATCTGTGTTGCGGATCGAAGGGCGAGGGGGAGTGATAAGATCGGCCTGCTCTTGGGTATGAACCCTAGAGTTTATAAGCCGATCCAAGTCTTCTCTGTAAGCTATCTGCTCGGCACGGAGGGACTCGAAGCGAGCATCCATCCCCTATTGCAACTGTGCTGCAACCGACCTGATGATCGTGGTCATGTCGATGGGAGGTGGCTGTGGCAGGCTGGTCGTGTTTGTGCCACCTGACTGACCGACCTGGTCTGTTCCCCCGGTGTTCTGTGCGGTAGTTGTGTTGTCTTCCTGATCGGTATGGTGGGCCACCGGAAGCCCTGTGGCTAGGTCGATGATCGGATCCTGAATGTTTCTTGTCGGATCGGGGGCTCCTGTGAGGTCGGTAGTGTTGATTGGTGTTTGAACCATCTTCAAACTCCGTTCTAAGTCAAAGATTACTCTTTTATTCTCCACAGACGGCGCCAACTGTAAAAACTCAAATTCGATCTAAAGATTGAACAAGAGTTTGTGGGTTTAAAGAGAGATCTTTATTAGAATTAAGCCGGAGCTTGAGAGATACAAGATAGTTTTAGGTCGTCGAAACAAGAACGCCGACCTAGACTTTTAAGGAAAGTAAATCAAGAGCTAAGAACAATTAGATTGCTTAATCTGTCTTAGGTCTCGAGGAGTGATTTTCGGATAGGTTGAAGAGTCGAGGACTTCCTACATTTATAGCCGATCAGATCGGTTTTCAATCTGCTTGAAATAGGAAACTCTTGTCGGCAAGGAGTTTTCTTTTTCCTCGGGTCGATCGATAAATGGAATATTCCTTTTATGTTACCGACCTGAAACTTGTTAGACGGACCGACCAGAATTCGTATCGGGCTTGTTAGAGACGGTACAGATCTCATCTCTAACACGGTCTAATTTAGAATTGGAGAAATTTATTAATTTATAGAATTTATTAATTTATCGAATATTAATTTTTTGTATTATACCCCCATTATTGGTTTTTTCCCCTCATCTCATTTGTAAGAAATACAGTATGTGGAGTTGTATAATTTCTTAGACATTTCACAGTTTCCTTTTCGTATAGCATCGAACATGTGTTTGCCCACTGTTGTTGTTTTTTTTTTTTTTTTTGAATTCCTTGGAATAACATTTCAATCCTAAATTTTCATAACCTTCATAATAACTAAAGACATTTTCCCTTAATTCAGTTGATCATTTAATTTAGAACTTGTCTCGCAAAAATATAATACAAAGGTCCCGCACAAAGATAATGTGATGTGATAAAATCAATACAAGGAGAGTCGATCGGACCAACCAGCTGCCAGTCTGCCAACTACCTTATAAGACGTTTAACAAAACATAAATAAATGTAATAACCAACACCTATCCTGCAATAACCTGCAGAACGTGTTTCTCAAATTTCAGAACGTATGAATTATATAAGTTACAACTCTCAACTATTTTGCAAATGCTGTATTTATTGTTTTCCATATACTAATGTCAATCTGCATGCGAAAAATGTTGTTTCTTGCACTTAATCTCAGGTTAAAACTTGACAAGCTGTTTTATTTTTTATTTTTTTTGGTATCTTACTACAACCCTATAATGGAATTAATTGAAGGTAAAACGTAACTGCTCCTCTTCAGTTGATTCTTGTTTTGGAACACCTTTGCTGTTTTTTTGGTCGGTTAGTTTTCGGGTTTGTCCCGGATATTTAAATGTGGTGTGATTGTATTCAACGAACTTGTTCATTTCTAGTCATTGTCCAGATTATCGGGTTATTAAAGAGAAAATATAAAGGAGTTCCTTAAAATGTGTTTAGTCAATTGTTCCATTTCCTTCCTAAGATAAGTGCAAAGGTCTTAGCAAAGTAAAGTAAGTCAGGTTAAATATTTCTACTTTCTCACAATATAAATTTAAACAAAAATAAGCCAACAACATCTATATAGCAAAGGACTCTTAAACGTCTGAATTTGACAAAAAAAAATTGCTGATTTCTTGGATATGTCTTTCTTTGAATAGTTCGCGTAAGAGACCGGTGATTTTAGAGTAATATTCACACTTTTTTTTTTTTTTTGTAAAGCGTGTTAGTCATAAATAAATATAGTTTACCAAAGATATTTTTAAAAAATTTGAAGTAATCATATGCTATTGCTATCCCATATCTAATTTTGGTGTTTAAAGTATACTGTAACTTAATATTTATTGTTCGTGCAAGATTATTGGTATTTGAGTTTATTTCGGATGCTCAAATATATAAAAATGTTTATTTGAGTTTGAGAAAGTTGATTTACTAAGTCTTTTGCTTTCACTGTTGTTAATGAGTTTAACGTGATGTAAGGGTCTTTTTATATCTAAATTTTGGACTACGATCACTTTTGTAGTTGGACTTTGTAGAGTTTACTTTTCTTGTATCTGGATATTGGGTTATCACATCTAATTAAGGTAGATCAAAATAAAATGTTTCTTATAAGTGTAAATCATTTTTTCTCTATTTTTACTTCTTTTTGAGAAAACAGATTGAGTACGGAACTGTACCCACTTTATAACTAATTATTTTCTTGGAATTGGCCTTTCAATCAAAGTGGTTTTCAAGGTCCTTCATGAACGCTAAAATGCCTTCATGGTCTATAAAAGTCATTGCGAAATGCGAATCTTTAAAAGTTTTCTGAATATCGGACTGAAAAATAGCGGTGACTTCTCGAAATATAAATAACTTAGTAGCAATAATGAAGGAACGTGTTACTTGGATTAGTATATGGGTGAGATTTTGACAGGATTGATCATCACGGAGACCATCTTCCCAACTATCTCTTTTAATTTTGGTTTTGGTTTTGATAATAATGTAATAATGTCATTGTGAACTTAAGTCTCATCCCTATCATTTGTTGTTTTCTATCAATTCTACAAACTAGCTGAAATATTGACCTCAACTTCTAGTTTTTTTTGTCCCCTATCTTTAATTAATATGATTAAGAAACAAAAATCATTCACGTTCAACATTTTATTTAAATAGCTTATTTGACAAATTTGATTCCAAAACATGATCATTTCCAAAATAATCTATAAAAGAAATTTACTAGTGTGCTTTCAGTCTTGTCGTTAGGTTACTATTAATTTGCATCTAATCTACTGTTAATTTGTATCTAATCTATGTTTAATTGTATTGTCAATCAATCTACTAGTACCCTGTATTTAGTTTATCATTACATATAAAAATAGTTAGATTAATATTTTCTTAAAATAGTTACTTTTTACAATTTTACTTCAGTAAAATACTCATTTCACATTATTTTTTCGTTATAACAATATTTTCACTTTTAAAATTGTTCAGAATTCATCTTGCTAATTTAGTGGACTGATGTCTATCTTCTCGTAAATTTGAGTATACAACTAGTTTTTCAATTTTAATGTCAAAATATTTGTTTTAGTGGTAGTTGAATTCAGAAACGATCGAGTTTAACACTTTACCCTAATCTAACTACCAATAAGCCATAAGTACTATGGGATATTTATAAAGTACTTGTCATATTCTTTATCCGCTTAAAATTCATCCGGATCAAGTACTGATTATTATCATTCTTTTAGAATTAATTATGTGTTACTTGCTTGTTACTTGATATGTACTTGCAAAAAATCTAAACTTTATGATTTGTTAAATGATTTGACAATGATGGATACAGTACTTGTTTTTTTTTTCTGAAAAAACAACGGATACTAATCAAATGACAAGTACAGACATATACCAATAACCTTAATTATCAGATTCAATCAGAAACACATGGGTATCTTTTATATGGGCCTCCAGAGCGCGATAAGGAAATGTTTTAAAAAGCTTCCAAGCCCAATGGGCCTTTTGTAAGTTTCATCTTCACGTCTTGCATGTCGAAAGATTTGCTATTACAGATATGATAGCACACGAATGGACTGAATCACCCACTCTTCTTTTACTCCCCACAAAGAAATTCACTTTATTAATAATCAATCTCTGCCATTTTCAAAATCAAATTCGTTTGCAGAGACGACGGAGATGGCAGAGTATTTGGTAACCGGAGGAACTGGCTTCATCGCTTCTTACATCGTCAAATCACTCCTCGAACTCGGACACACCGTTCGAACCACTGTCCGAGACCCTCGTTAGATCCTAATTTCTCTCACAAACAAGTAATTTTTCGATTATTTCAACGTCTCATTTTCTGGGTTCTTGAAATTTTGGATTCGTGTTTCAAAGGGGATGAAGAAAAGGTGGGTTTTCTATGGGAATTGAAAGGAGCGAAACAGAGGCTGAAGATTTTCAAAGCTGATCTAACGGTGGAAAGAAGCTTTGACGAAGCAGTGAACGGTGTCGATGGAGTATTCCACACGGCTTCTCCTGTTCTCGTCCCACAGGATCACAACGTTCAAGAGACACTGGTTGATCCAATCATTAAAGGAACAACCAACGTGATGAACTCTTGTGCAAAGTCCAAAACTTTGAAAAGAATCGTTCTCACATCTTCTTGCTCTTCGATACGGTACCGTTTCGATGCCACTGAAGCCTCTCCGCTCAACGAGTCTCATTGGAGCGACCCTGACTACTGCAAACGCTTCAATGTAAGAAAACATTAAACTTTGATTTAGAAAAGAACAAAACTTTGTTGATGGTGATGGAGTGTGTGTGTGCTTTGAGATAGCTTTGGTACGGATACGCAAAGACTCTAGGGGAGAAAGAGGCTTGGAGGATAGCTGAAGAGAAAGGTTTAAACTTGGTGGTTGTGAACCCTTCCTTTGTGGTTGGTCCATTGCTTGGACCAAAACCAACAAGCACTCTGCTTATGATCCTCGCCATTGTCAAGGGTCTTGCCGGAGAGTATCCGAATTTCACGGTCGGGTTTGTGCACATTGACGATGTGGTTGCTGCCCATGTGTTAGCCATGGAAGAGCCTAAAGCATCAGGGAGGATCGTGTGTTCGAGCTCTGTTGCTCATTGGTCTGAGATCATTGAGTTGCTAAGAAACAAGTATCCTAATTACCCACTTGAGAACAAGTAATCATCTCTCTCACTCATGAGATTCAACAAGATTTCATAAGTTTAATATTATTTGATTGATTGATTGATTCTTTGCTTTTTTGTTTATTCTCAGGTGCAATAACAAAGAAGGGGACAATAGTCCACATAGTATGGATACAAGGAAGATACAAGAGTTGGGATTTGCTTCATTCAAGTCACTACCTGAGATGTTTGATGATTGTATCCGCAGCTTTCAGGAGAAGGGTCTGCTCTGAAGATTTTAGTCTCTTCTGGAGCGTAACAAGTTATTTCTATGGATTGATGTCTATGAAGTTGTAACTGATCAAAGAACCTCTGTTAGTTACTGATTCCAGTATAAATTCAATAATTAAGCTGGTTTTTTTTTAACTCCTTCCAATATTTCAAACATTTTATTACATGGAATCCTACCATGAGACAATATGTAACCATACCAAAAGGTCCAAAACCCAAAATTTCATGGAATGTAAGAAGCTATTTAGGATATGAACCATGTTGTAGCTACTAGAAGGATCTGTGTTGTTATAGATGTGAAGGTGAAGATAAAGTAACCATAATGTGCTTTGATCTTATGGTGAATTATAGAGGAAAAGTAGCACATGCTTGTCAAGAGTTATCTTCTGTAAAGTTATGAATTCTTGAAGATGTTGAAGAAGAAAAATGGTTATGCAAAGACTTCTATGTGCCTTTTACTTCTGAAGATCCGGTTATAACATTTGACGATTACTTTAATGAGTTATTAGAAGAAAAGATAAACTATATTCTAAACTGATATGAAACGATGATACTGGTGAATCTATCGACTTGCTCTTATGATGATGACAAAGACAATGAGATAGCCTAGCAAACAATAAACCGGATTCAAAAATCACATTCAAAATCCATTTCTCATTTGTCTAACATCTCTTTTTTGTTGATCAACTTGTGAAACCATTGGGCCTTTCAGCTAATGGGCCGAAGATTATCTGTTTCTTTTGCAACTTCATTTGCTATTTTCTTTTGCAGAAATTCTAGACAGGGACCGGTTTGTGATTCATCTTGAAAGAATCGACACAAAAACACTTGAATTGATTATGAATGTGAAGATTATAACCAAATATAGCATCAAGAGTTTTAAAAAAAGCTCATCACATGATCCTCTCTACTTCATCACCTCAAACACCTTCATGCATGTGCATTTCAAGCTCTTCTTCTTATAGTATATCACGTGATTAAGAAGACATGCCGCACGCACGTTCAGAAAAAAAAGATATATACAAGAGCATGTGCAAACCATATAGTAGTGGAAAGAAGAGAGTTAATACTTACTAGTAGTAATACTATAGTGTATAAAAACTCATCCTTTGACTTTTCTTCATTCCCAATCACCTTTATTTTTTAAAAATATATGAAATATTTAAAGTCCAAAATGCTATACAGCTGTTATAAATATTTGGAGTTAATTGAATAACCTGACAAAACCAACCCCTGACTTGTTGCCACTTCCGTGCAATTCCCTCTTTAATTCCCACTCTCCTCTTCACTATTCAACTTTTCTTCAAAAGGACAATAAAATTTATTAATTTCATAATCTAAAAAAAAAAACATATAATTAAATAAATAAGAATGCTGTTTTGTGATGGCGCGGCGAATCAGCAGAGAAGCAGTGAAGAGTAAGAGACCACCAAATTTCATTGAATTGTCACTTTCTATTAGATTCTTAGAATCGCAACACGTCAGTATCTAACGCTCCACTGGTAAGGGGATAAGAACAATGAAACAACAAATTAAATAAGCAAACTCATTAATAAATATTTTAAATTCATTTAAGAGAAAAAAGAGGTTACAAAAAGATTTAAGTGGATTTAATGGTAATCAAATCCTTAATAACTTTGGACGGCTCTAAAAGCACAATGAGAAAAACCCAAAGTAAAAAAGATTAAAAACCATAAGAAGCAAAAACAATACTGAATCATAAAAGCTTCAAACTTTCACACTTTCATCTCAACCTCTAAAACCGAAAATTAAATAAAAATAAACTCCTAATTGCAAAACCCGGCTCTTATGTCTTAAGATCTTACTTATCTCCGGAACACACTTTTGTATGTCTTCTTTGATTACTACTAAAACATAAACTTATACGAAAAATCTCACTTAGAAAAAAAACATAAAACTCTTCTACTATTTTAAGCTGCAAAACTTTTCATGGGGCAAGTGATGTTGAGAGGCGCGATTTGATCAAGGAAGGCGAAACTAGAGTCACCAAGCTCATCTGCAAAGTCGAAATCCGGTAGCTCACTAGGACCGCTGTCTTCAAATCCGTTAATGTCATCGAGCAAACCGAAATCATCAAGCTGATCATCAGTGAGGAAACAATCAAAGTCCAAGTCATCACCGTTTCCTCCAGCAGCAGCCATTGCTCCATCAGCAAAGAAGCTAAGATCAGGGATTTGCAAATCAGTAAAGTCGAAGTCGAACTGCACTTCCTTGTCCTTGCTCGAATCAACAACATCAGTAGTAGTACTGATCTTGATCTCCTTGGTAGTGATCTTGGTCTCTTGTTTAGCAGTGACACACGTGAGAGCTGAAGCTGAAGTGTCTTGCTCAAGAGGAGTGTTGGGTGATGAGCGAGAGCATTGACTGGTATCAGATGAAGAAGCATCAGGCTTGGCGGTCTCGGACACAGAGACAGAACTTGTGGTTGTGGGGAGGCCGAGAAGTGCGTCATACTCTTTCCTCTTGTCCTTATAAGCTTGATGAGCTTCCTGCTCAGTGTCAAAAGTACCCAACCATGTCCTCGTCTTAGTGATTGGATGTCTAATCTCAGCAGCCCATTTCCCCCATTTCCTCTGTCGAACACCAACAGGCTTCTTAGACAACCTCGGACGAGAGGCCAAAGCTGCTGCAACCGCTGCGACCGTCGCTGAGTTCTTGTTATTAACGGTCTTGGTGCTGTCCTGAGAGGAGCTCGCCGAGGGAGATGCCAAGGAAGGGAAGTTGATCTCACGGACGATGCGTTTCACTTTGCGAGGCTTAACCTCTTCCTCGTCGCTAGAGGAATCATCAGTAGCGTAAGGATCGTTCACAATGATCCTGACTTTTCTCAAAGGTTGGGTTTCTTGAGGATGGGATGATGATGATGATAAAGCGTTGCTGCTTCTCTTTGGTTTCTTCACACCACTCAAAGACTGTTGCTTTCTTACCTCAACCATTTTTTGTTATCTCACAAACCCCAAATCCTCAAAATACCCAGAAAAAAAAAAAGAAAAACGGAAAACCAAAATCACTCAAAAACACTCAGATATCAAAACTCTTAGATCAAAAAGGAGACTTTTTTATCAAAATCTCAGCGAACTATGAAAAAAGGAAATTTTTGTTGCTTTATGTGAAAACCCCCAAATACTTCAACGCCAGAACAAGTCCTGAGATACATAGAGAGAGAGAGAGGCGTTTTAATCTTCAGATCTCTTTAAGGTACGAAAATGGAAAACAAGATGAGAAATGATTCGGTACCTTTTGGGCCTTAAGCGCATGGAAAGAGACGGAATCTCGAGAACAAGCCTCTGCTTAACGCAGAAGTGAAGAGCGTTTGAAAAAGCAGCCAGACCAGATTTCAAGGAAGGAGATGAGGAAGATGATGAAATCGGAGAAGAGATGTTGAACAGAGACAAAATCACAGCCGATTCAAACCCAGCCGACATAAATCCGCGTAACAGACGCTACGATTTCTTCTCACGAAACCCCCTAAGTTTCACTGTTCCTGTTCTTCGAGAAGACAAGAGACAACAACAACAACAGAAAGTGAGAAACCAGATAAAGCCCAAACAGCTAAAACCCTAGAGCAGGGAGAAAAAGAGAGAGTGAGAGAGATTAGAAATCTGGGGAGGAGATTTTTCTTTGATTATATAAAAAAAAAAACGAAGGATCCGTGACAAAACTTCAGAGAGAAAAAACAGTAAACAAGTGTTGAAAAAAAAAAGGCTCGATTTTTACAATACTCATATAACGCAAATCTCTAGAAGAGAAGAAAAAAACATAAACATCAAACAAACAATAAACAATAAACAAATCCAAGGAGGAAGAAGAAAACTGTTCTTTTAATAAATTCATGGAGAAACGCAGAAGAAATTAAAAAAAAAAATATTTATTAACCTTGTTGCTGTGTTTCTTTCGATTCTCTCTCTCTCTCTTCTTTCTGCTTTTTTTTTTGTTTAATTTGGCTCTGAATAAGACTCTCACGCTCTTTATATTCTGATTTTACAATACACTATTGCTGATTTATTTCACATTTCTCAATGACGGTCAAAAGGAACCATTCAAAGAAAAGAACGACAATTATGGGAGATAAATATTCGGTTTTTCTTTTTGTTTAGATTTGTAACAACCAATTAAAAACCCATATGGTAAGTTTAATATATTTTGGAAAATAATCTTTACTAATTTATACAGTTTACCTATTCACATTTATTGACCAACCAATAACAGTATACTAAATTTTCCGTTTTTACAGAACCTCAAAAGTAACAATATTTGACTGTAATATCAAGTATTTTGACTTATTTTGCATTACATTACTAATTTATTTGGTACCAAAGATAGAAAATAAATATAAAGAAAAAAAAAGGAATTAAGCATAATATTGTGATGGGGAAACATATAATAAAATTAGCTGGCATGGTGGAAGTAGGGACAATTTAACATTAATGGCGCATGACTCTCTCATACTCATGCATCTATCATGGCCCGCCAAGAATCCGAGCGCGTGGTACTCACTCTCTTTTTGCCACAAAGAATTTTAAGAAATTGTAATTTTCTAATTTTTAGTATTAGTAGACATTTTTTAATTTCTTTATTTTTGGGTCCAATTAAATTAAAGAATTTCGTTTTCTGACTGTTTTTTAGATTTTTTATTTATTAAAACTGGTTTTTATTTAGATAAATATCTAAATTCCATTGAATAAATCTTCCATTTTTTATTAAAAAAAACAATCTTAACTATATTAGCACAATATATATAAACCAAATCTGTAAAAATCTAGCTAAATCTAATTTTGACTAGATTTCTATATTTTATTGGGCACAACCTAAAACAGACAAAATTATTAAAAATGATAAAGGTGAATATTTTGAATTCGGACAAGCTTCAACTCTGAATTCCAGTTACTCTCCAAAATAAAAGTTAAGTGTTAGTAATGTCAATGCAAAATTCTTGGCAAAATTGTTATACGAAAGTAGTTTTTGAGAGCGGTATTAAGGAATTATATACTTTATGAATGGCAAATCAATTAAAATTATCAATTGGATATGTGACTAGGATTTTAGAGAGATAAGTTTTAAGAAAATAAAAATAATCATTTGTTTGTATTCCATTTAGTTTCTTGAGATTATAACTCAAACGTTACATTCTGACTTTTGTAATTTACAATAATTTTAATAGAAATTAGACGTTAAAGATTTACATTTTGTTTTA